CTTCTTCATGGGAATCACTTGGTTCACCAACTTGCTCTTTTTAATCAAGGACTTCTTCATTGATACTTGTGGGTGCTTCCTCCGACATATGGCATTCACTAGATGACGGGACATAAGGTTGAAAATCAATTTCTTGGGTGTCATTATGATATCCTTTTATTTCTTTTATCTCATTTTCTATATCTCTTGTCAACACGGATGACTCATCAAAATGCACATCTTGGCTTATAATTATCTTTTGAGCGCTTTGATCTCATAACCGGTATCCTTTCACACATTTGCTATATCCAACAAAAATACATTTCTTTGATTTTGGTTCAAGCTTATTTCTTTGGCAGCTAAGAATTAAAACATAAACATCACAACGAAAAATCTTTAAATTGAAATAATCACAAGGAGTTCTGGACCATACCTCCTGGGGTGTTTTCTCCCCCCAAGCTACCGAAGGTGATCGATTGATGAGATAACAAGCTGTCATCATGGCTTCGGCCCATAGCACTTGTTTCAATGTGTGATTCATCCTTTCTGCAACATCAATTTGTTAAGGAGTGTAAACCGTGGTGAAATGTCTCTTGATTCCTTCATCTTTATAAAATTTTGTAAACTCATGGGAATTGTACGCCGTCTTATTGTCGGTACAAAGTGTTTTGATATGGCGCCCCGTACTCTTCTCAACTTCGGCCTTAAAATACTTAAAGGCAAAAAATGCATCATTCTTTGATTTAAGAGTGAACACCCATACCTTCCTTGAGAAGAAGTCATTTATAAAAGAAATAAAATATAATGCACCACTATATGACATTATGGGTGAGGGCCCCCATAAATCCAAGTGAACATAATCAAGTATTCCTTTGCTTGTATGGCTTCTGTCTTTAAAAATTCGTTTATGTTGTTTCCCATAGACACAATGCTCACAAAATTCAGATTCCTCAAATTTTATAGTGGGAATTAGCTTACTCTTCATCAAAATCTCCATATCTTTTTCACTTAAGTGGCGTAACCTCCTATGCTATAAGCATAGTAGAAGATCATTACTCTCCACTATCGAATTTGCCGCATCATCAATAATGGAGCTTCTCAATAGCTTATACAAGTTCCCAACTCTAATACCCTTGATCACAACAAAAGCATCATTAGATACTTTGAGAACTCCCCCTTCTCCGGTGAATTTATAGCAATGGAAATCCAATAAAGAAAGAGAAATTAAACTTTTCTTCAAGTCTGATACATGTCGAACATGCTCAAATGTACGGATACTTCCATCATACATTCTTTCACCGTGCCAATCCCAACCATTCTACTACTTGAATTGTTTCCCATCAACACGGAACCACCATCACATGGTTCACTCATATAAACTAAGCCATGACTTGTGTGGACACATATGGTGTATAGCACCATTATCCAAAATCCAATTTTGATGGAATTCGGGATTGCTTCCCACGATTCACCTCATTTTTTGACTACTTGCTTTCTCTTGCTTTTTCGAACTTTTGTCCTTTACTTTTTGTACAATTTTTCTTCATATGTCCTACTTCACCACATCCCCAACAAACACACTTATTTTCTCGACCTTTAGACTTAGATCGACCTTTCGACTTAGATCTAGAAGAATTTCGAGAGGAATTATCTCTCTCACTTGAACGCCTTGAAAAGTACACTTCCGATTCCGGTTCTCCAATAGATGCTTTTTTTCAAAGTTCATGGGTAAGCAAAATACTAGTCACCGTACTTAAGTCAAGTGAATCTTCTTTAGTGCAACTTAATGTTGCCCCTAAATTATTATAAGGTTCCGGTAAAGTACATAACAAACTTACCGCCTTGTCCTCATATTTCATTTTTTCACCAACACTATTAAGTTCACAAATAATGTTATTGAAAATGTTCAAATGACCGAAAACTTTTGTCCCCTGTTTCACCCTTAAAGTAAACAATTTTCTCTTTAATAGAATACGATTCGTAAGATATTTGTTTTGATAAATACTTTCCAATTTCTCCAACAAGCCTTTTGCCATCTTCTATCCCATTATATTGAATAAAATCTTATTTGCTAAGTACAATCGAATTGCAGCCATAGTCTTAAAAACAATTTCCTCCCAATCCTCATTACTCATAGACTCCTGTTTCTTTTTCTTTCCGAGTAATGTTTTGTATAACCCTTGTTGGACTAAAAGATCATGAACTTGAATTTTCTATATCTCAAAAACATTTTGTTTATCAAATTTCTCCACCTCAAACCGATTACTCACCATTTTCCAAAATATATTACACAAAACCTAATGCTCTGATACCACTTGTTGAAGATCTGAATACCCTAAACTCCAATTTAACCGATCACTGAATATCACATACTCAATACCAAATATGTAAAATAGATAATCTAATAATAAGCTCAAAGATCGTGTGTGCAACGATTTAAGAAAATAAAATAGAGATGGAAAATATAGTCAGGAGAGAAAATTAGAGAGACAAACCACAACATGAATTTAACGTGGTTCATCCCGTAGGGCTATGTCCACGGGCAAGCCAACAAGTATTCCACTATCAAAAGAGAAATTTATAGGGGATACAATATTACCTCAAAAGGCGAAATTGAAGGAAGAAATTGATGAAAGAACATCACCAAGAATATCTTCCTTGTGATCACTTCGGATGACCCAAGAACATGAGCAAAACAAGCTCATACTATTTCTCCCATAAATAGGACAAGAAAATCTTTCTTCGCCTCCTTCCCTTTCTCAACACAACCCAAGGAAGCCCTAGCCCATTTTCTAGAGAGAGAGAGAGAGAGGAGTTCAAAAACAAGAAGAATCGTGTGTCACATAAAACCCATTTGTTTTGGCTTTTATACAAACCACCTAATTGCAGTGACAAAAAAGGCCCCAAACAAATAATAAAAGATAAAAGCATCTAACATGTGATTTTTCTATCACCATTCAACATAGAGAAACTATCTCAAAATTTTTTAGAGAGAGAAAATTTGCATTTCCAAAAAAATGATATCCTAGACAATTAAAACAAGGAATTTGCATTTTTTTTATTTCTACTAGATCCGATCCAAACAGGGAATTGACATTTTCAAAAAATATCAATTCCAAGATTGACTTTTTCTAGAATCCAAACGGGCCCTAAAAGAAGAAATGAGTATGGTTCAGTTGATAGTTAATGTTTGGCATTCTGAAGAGTGTTACACTCTCTTATCAGTGGGGAAGGAAAATGACTTCTGAAACTCTGATTGCTTATGATTGAAATACTATTTCTCCATTTTTATTTTATCTTCTTTTTTTCTTCCGATGTTTATAAACCACACCCTAATACAGCAGAATTATCATTAACTCATTTTTGTAATTATGGCTCCTCTTACATGTTGTCTACTAGCAGCTAAAATGGGATCTCAAGTGCTACTTCCAATTCGCGGATCTCAGGATTCCGATCGACATCTCAAGTGATCTTGGCCGGGTGTTCTTATAAGCTTCTGTTACTTGCAATATTCTCTGTTAATTGCTGCATTATGCTCAGTCTTATTGACATTTTCTTCCTTTTACATGTACCACTGATTGACTGATATGAGGTGTTTAGATTTTGTTAGATAGTACCAATGAAATATAATGATGAGGGCTTAATCAAGGCAGTTATGGCAAAGGCTAATGTTATTATCAACCTCATTGGTATGCACTTGTTTTTATGGCTTATTTTTAGCTTACCTCAATGCGGGACCAAGGCAACAACACTGAATAACCTATTCTATTTTGTGCTGGCAGAAGGGAGTATGAGATCAGAAACTGTAGCTTTCAATGGGTGGGTTTTGTTTGTCCTTACATGTTGTTAACTCTACATTATTTTGTTTACCTAAATGCAGTGCATTAACCAATGCCTTAAAAGACAGGATCTACCTGCCTAGTCCAAGGTGAGGCATACTGGATCTGCCTGCCTAGGCCAAGGTGGCCTGGCTGTAGGTGGTTCCCTAGGAGCCACCTTGGCCGTCTAAGTGCCAAGCCGCTTAAACGGCCGTCTTGACTGCCTAGGTCCTCGGCCTACACGGCTGCTTCGACTGCTGGGCAGTCCCTCCCAAAAACACTATATATCATTTATTTCTTCTAGTTTCAGCTGCTTGGAGCTTGCGGCCGCCACTAAGGATCTTCGAGCATATTGCTATGGTGCTTCCCAGATTTTGAGTTTGAGGGCACTGCTAAGGCACTTTGCATATCGGAGGCCTCAAAAAGGATATAAAGATCACTGTCGGGCATTGCTAAGGCACTTTGCATGCCTCAAAAAGGATATAAAGATCACTGTCATCGATTCGATAATGGGGCTGTGGAATGTGCTAAGTCCTGTAGGTGTAATTCTAGGCACAATTGAAGTAAACCTCCTAATTTAATTTGCAGTTTATTTTTTAATTTATTATTTTGTTCTTGATTCATATTGTAACTCAAATTCAATTTATGGATGAAGTTTTTTTAAAGGCAGTAAAGTAAGATCCTAGATTGTAGAAGGTTTTGTTTTCTGCTTCTGCAATGTATTTTGGCAATTGTAAGTAGAATTACCTGATATTCACCCCAAAAAAAAGTAAAAAAAGCTAGAACATCAATAAAAGAAAAGATATATTTTTTGAATTTACCCCAGGAATCCTGCACACCAACATCTTTCATCTCTCTCACAAATCATTTCTACGTAGATTTTTGAATGGGAGAAAAAAGGTTTCTTGCCAAGTTAGAGAGAGTTGGCGAATGGAGTGGGACAAGGCTTGGTCAAGAGTGCAACTCTTAACAAAGAATGATGAAAGAACAATAGAAACCACTAGAACACTAAATAAGATGAAAATAATATGGATTGTTAGAAAATCTATTCATATATTGAATATTTCTGAAAATTTTAAAATATTTTAAAGATCAGCCTAGTATTACCTTCTCTATTTGCTTATCTTTGCCTTTTCCTTAAGCTTGCTCTGCGTAGGAACGCTAGGCTAGCAACTCTAGTGCGAGGCATAAACTGCTCTTGTTAGGGGAAGGACAAGATGGGGTAGGTGGCCAGTAGCTATAACCCTTTTTTCTGTTCTGTTATTCTGTTGAGGATGTGATGACATCATTGATCCATTTATATGCTTGAGACTCAACTCGCACATCTCCACGAGGAAACTAGACTTGCGAATGCTCATTGAATGTCTTATGTATTGGTGTTTTCCATTTTTTTGTATTTTAAATTGTTTTAGCAAAGTTTTTGCAGGCTTTTGGTGTTACATCAAAAGGTTGACGCCAAATTACTCCCCGGGTTCGAGGGGACTCAGCAAGTCAACTCAGACTTAGGGAAATCATAGAAAACTTCCTGTATCTAAATTGGGCTTGGAACCCTTTAAATATGACAATTTACGTTAGATAGCATTACATGGGTGTTAGTATCTAGTATGTATTGGGGTATCTACTACGTGAGGCAAATAATTTAGTATTTGTCAGACACGTCCATACAGTAAATAGCCTAATAATATAATGGCGGGCATTTAGTCACCTCCTTTGTAATATATGTTTTGGTGGTAGGCTGTACTGCTTCTTATGCTTACTATACCATACTAGTGCAACACATTCAAGGTTCAAACTATTTAGCTACCACTTGGAAACCACAACGTAAGTGCTAAGAATTGGACGATGCTTCAATAAGAAGTTTCAATGCGTATCAAAATGCGATGACATCCAAAAACAAGTTCGGTATTTGCTGACATGTGTCTAAGCGTTCACGCAAGACACCAAGCCAGATGCAAAGTGTCCATGTTACACTGCAGATACTCCTCCAACGCATGCATGCCAATTTGTTAAAAAATTAGAAGGTGCATGCATTGGGCAAATTTAATGAGAATTAATGGAAAAAGAGCAAAACACTCATTTATCCCAATCCGAAGAGGTGTCGAGGAGTTTGGGAACCTCCTAAAGGGTCTAAGCATCAGCGAATATGGAATTCGTCACACCGATCAAACCTGAAAGCGAGTGCAGCTGGTGACATGTACAATCCTGAAGGAGCATAATGACCCTTGCTAAACCAGTGTTGCTGAGGAAGGTGCTGTTGAAGTTCAATTTGATAGTTTCATTAGGCCACGAGACCAGAATATTGGTTCTTAAGATTGATATGGGCCTGAAAAACCAAATAGTTTTCCTATCTCCTAAGATCGACATGAGATACAAATTCCTATTCCAAATCTGACTACCATCTATAATAGGAAATATTACCGAACTAATCTCTTAAGGAATCGTTTCCAAGAAAACAACCAATCCAAAATCCACTGAGGACTGCAATACACATCCCATGGCTGCTAACTATTACGAGGCCACATGCCAACGATCAATGATCTAATAATCAGACCTATGTTACAGGACACTCGATCAATAAACAAATAAATCTAGAATACAATTGTGGCAATCTTATGGATGATCCACCATATATATATATATATATTGAGCTTACGTCAAAAATTTCACTAAAAGAGGTTGTTTTGATGCCCAAATACCCTCAAATTAATAATCTCGACATCAAGATGCATGGACATGAGAAAAAAATGGATTTCGAGTTTTCAAAATAGTGTATTTTGTAATGTAGTTTTGGACCGTCAATTTTCAAAATTTTTCAAGTTTTCATAGATCTATCTATCTACCCTATTTTTGAAGCTTTAAACTTTATAAATAAAGATGAAAATATATTTTACGGCTATCACAAATATTTTCAGTATTGAAACTACATTTCAGACACTATTTGAAGGTAGGCTATAATTTTGATTGTTTAGAGCCTAAGCTCTCTCTTTCTCTCTCTCCCTATATATATATATCTTTAATTTGAGAAGGAATGATATAACAGATGCAAGGCTCATCTTTACATGCCATTATAATAGTTACATTAATAATTTTATGCACGTCTGTTTTCTCCTTGACCATTATGTTTTGCAAGTTCTCATGAAAATTTGTTGGGAAGGATTCTTGTGGACTTGTTAATCATTGAATCTACCGATTTTCAACAAACACTGTCGTAGTCCTTCCTGGGATTTTGAAGCTTCCAGTCCTTGCTTCATACAATGAGCATTTCACAAGGTTGTCACCTGATGCCAACTGCAAAAGGCGGAAATGTTGATGGATTGAGCATCCAATATTTCATTGAAAGAACTTGGAATTCCATACGACATCATTAGTGATAAATTAATAGGACCTGTATGGGGTGCAACTGAAGCATTCTGGCTCTCAATGCATGGATGGTGAAGGCAACCTCATGTGGCTGAGCATTGAAGGTCACAACAATAAAAGAATATCTGAAAAATAACAATAATAATGAGCCAGTTGATTTCATTTGTCTCATGTTATTTTTATTGGCAAAATACAAAAAACACATCCATTAGAGAAATCATACATGGGATCAATTTGTGTCAAGCCAGGCATTCCCATGTGACCATCTTCAAGGCTCATTACGATTAACCCAGGGATACTTGAAGGCCCAGTATTATGGAAGCGCACTCTTTCCTAAACAGCCAAAGTACTATACATAGTCAACAAGAAATAAATGGTAAACATAAGCTAGGCATCACATTAAGCATGGTGTAAGAAAAATCAACTGATGACAGCCAAGCTGCATAATCTGCGTAAAAAAGTTAGCATGAAATAATTCAAATAAATGTTGGTCATGAGTATGAAAATTCACAAATTTCTTCTCCACAAGTCTTTGGGTGAGTAATTCATGGCAATCACCTTCGCCGGAGCTTCCATATGTTCTAATTCAGTATATAATAGATGCTGCACATTGAAAATTGAAGTTCAAACAATATCTTTTATGGTGTTTCTCTTTTTACAGAGAAACAACAACAAAAAATTTGATACGCCAGAATCTCATCTTTCGTAATACTACTATCTAATTATCAATAAATTTAATTTTTGCAGGTATACCTACTTATACGATTTTGGTTTCATGAGGGAGGTGAAGAGTCCAACCTTTGAAACCCTGTCAAGTGAGGGGTGGGGGGAAGCTGACCTACCATTTAATTTGTTATCAACCAAAGCTTTTGGCTAAATGGTGAGACACCTAATTTGCATTGAGAGATCTTTGTACCTCTCTCTTGCAAAAGCAAGCTGACCTACCAAATAATAATAATAAAAAAAAGCAGTTTAATTGGAAAGCTATTAAAAAAAAGAAGAAAACAAAAAAAAAAAAGATTACAAAGCTTTTCCTTCAGTGAAAATGGAACATTGCGAAATCAATCACACATAGAAAAAGTCTATGACTTTCATCTTGTTTGCATGCTTGGTACATGAACTTAAACATGTATCATCTATGTCAACATTTTGCATCTTCGAAGGAAAATGTCACCTGGATAGAATCTGCTGTCTGCAAACGGAAAAGCAGGGAAGAGTAACGAATTCGAAGGAGATCCTCAAGATTTTGCACAGCAGAAATTATTTGGCTTTTCAGTGGCTTGTATGAAGCATTCGCCAATAATGGTTTTATCCTGAAATCCAAAAGATCAGGTGAAAGCTGTCGTAAATTGAAGCAATATGATCCCTGTATTGGAATAATTATGAAGACAATGACAAAGAAATGTGGGCATTAAAATCATGAAAGTTGATGTACAATAACAACATTTGGTGTACAATGACAAGGATTGGCTTTTGTGGTACTGTTGTTACAATGAACTTTGCATAAGGCCCCAGTCGATCTTTACTTATCCATGTGCTCCAGATGGAAAAGCAACATGATGCTTACAGTGTAAACAAGACACAAGAGGTGAGAGGAACTAAATCCTAAAGCAAGACATTTACACAAGAGGTGAGAGGAAAGAAGCAACTCTGCAATGATTAAACCCTAAAAACTATCCTAAAAGATTATTTCTCTAGATAATTAAAATTCGTAATTAACTTTTCTGTTCACATAAAAAGCCTTACACTAAATCCAATTCCTAACTTAGAAGCTCTTGGATACCCCCAACCTAAAATTGCTGGAAAAGCTTTAAGAGAGAGAGAGCGAGAGCGAGAGCGAGAGAGAGAGAGAGAGAGAGAGAGAGAGAGAGAGAGAGAGAGAGATGCATAGAATCCCCCTTGATCTAACTTGACGAGTGTGTGCCTCTCTTTATTAAGTATATATTGCATTATAAATTATGCCCTTGACTATGATAATTATGTAAAATATAGACTATAGTTATGTATTATGCATTCAATAGATATTCTTAACACAAATCACAAATTGCATAGATCTACCCCCCATTCATTTGTGAGCAGTTTCTATAAAGAGAGAATATACAAAAGTCAGGTCCCGCCCATGCTACACAGAGTATGTAACAAACTTTTGGGCAGCAACTCCCTCTCTTTTGTAGCATTAACCTTACTCCAGACATGCTTGAAGGAGTGATGATGATTAGAGCACAATGAGTAGCCATGAGTATCTTCTTTAGGAGTAACAGACGCCTAATTTTTGCTCATATTTGAAGGATAAAAAACCCTAAGAGGGCGCCCAAGAAGCGCAAGAAATAGTTTGAATAGTTTTTTGAGTTGCTTAGGGGTAGTTTCAAAACTTTTTTTTATTTTATTATCTATTTCATCGCTGGATCAGTTAGGGAAGTTTTAGATACTCTAATTAAAGTTAGAGGTTTAATTTCAAGTTATTGTCCAAAACAATTGATTTTTAACATAAAAGGTGTGGATGGGCTAGAGGAACAATCACATATTACTCTTTTCAGTAAAAGAAGACTTTTCTTGAGAGAATAAAAAGACTAAGGTTTGAGACCCAGGTGGGAGGAGGCCTTAGGGTTTCTCCAAAATTACATGTGTCTGGCTGTTTTCTTGATGAATTTTATTGTTTCCTCGAGTTCTCTGCATCAAGGAGACAGTTAAAGATCTTATGATCTGAAAATTTTGATAAAAAATACAAAAGGTAGGCATCAAGGAGACAGTTAAAGTCTCCAAGGACGGGGGAAGACCTGTAAGCTAGGCAATGCAATTCTTTGCATCACCTTTATAAGTAGAGGGTTGCCGACCAGGGACGGACAATTTAATACCTTGAAAAATGCCAATGCCTCCATAAATGTAAAATTTGTTGTTCCGGTGGGAACTGAAAAGGATAGGAGGGTTTGAGATGAGCTATCATAGACCTTCCTAATAAAACATAAGGCCACTGAATCAGTAGAACCCTACTATCAATGGACTTCAAAGCAAGAAAACAACATCTATTTTCCACCCTAGCCAAATAAATCTAAAAGGTCAAATAGGAATAGACCAACAAGATCCTCAACCAACCACCTTGTTGCCAATCTCAAAGATGTCTCCCACTAGCAGGTTAAGGAGTTTTTGTAGGGATGGAGGATAAGTAGGAAGTGTGTTTGTCAGCCATGCTGTTAGGTCTCATACTCATAAATACAGCCAGAATATGATATCAATATGGTGCATCCCATGGGCATAAATGGTAATTTTTGAGGGACAATATGGAGTTTATATTAGTGGAAATGGGCATTTGTTATATATTGATAGGCCGCTGATGCCTACGAAATGGGCCTGTGCTGTAGGATAATTTTTTCATGGTGCTCTTATGCTGAAGTAGCATCACCCAACAGTGCCTAGGTCCACAAAATTCCTTTTTTTCTCAAGAATACCAAAAAAATTGCACCAACCATAAACACATCAAGGAGACACCAGAGAGAAATGTATGTTTAAGGCATAATGGTAGACTTTAATGGGATGCACACATGCACATGCAAACACACACACACTGCCCATACGCACACATTGCACAAGTGTGAGCCATCACACATCGATGGACAAGTATAACCAGGGCACTTGATAGTATGAACAGCATTTGATGCTCAATAGAGACTTAGATGCTGGTCTTTCACGTTATACATACAAGATGTGTGGAAGCAAATAAGTATGCTTGAATGGAACAATATAAACAATGCTTCCTGAAGACTTACAACGGCCAATTATTTCCATTTTTCTCTTTTGGAGGAAGACCAACACCCCAATTATTTGATTCATAGCTAAAGTCTAGCCTGCCAATACAAGAAAAATGATGTCAAATCGGGTAAATAATGGTTGGTTGTGGACAAGATGCCACATAAATCTTTCATGACAAATTATGTAGACATGCATGCACCTAGCGTGCACTTTAAGAAATGGATTGCATATATAAGCAAGCAATATAGCACCATCAAGAGAAAACAAACTAGGAAACTGAGAATCAAATCTATGGTGGTGTTGCTGCAAACCTGTTAAACCAATCACCAGAGTTGTAAGAATCACGGTCAAGTGATTTTGAGCGCAAAATCTCATCCCCGGCATGGAAGAAGGGTATTCCCTATACAAAAGCAGAATCATTTGCAAGTCACAAAATGACAATGATAATGAAAATAAGTAAAATTAATTATGGTTCGTCAACAGACCTTTGAGACTAAAAGGCACATGCAAGATGGACAAATTGGGGGTTGTTAGATTATTGAATATGAGTTGTCCACGATCTGGTTTTTTTCCAGGACTTCCTCACAAAATTAATGGTAAAGAATAAGGTAGTGAAATGATGTTTGACTTTTCCCATTAGGATGCATATATTAGACACCAAACAAATAAGAGGGTAAACAATATAATACCATAAAATAATATAAATGCAGTCATGAATAGTGAACACAGATATAAACCAAAATTTCCCAACATGACAAAAGACATCTCTCAAAAATGACATCTCAAATTGGCAATGTCAGATGTCGTAACATGACAAAAAAAAAGGGGAGGGTTTGGACTTCATTACAAATATATTCTTAGTATGTTCTATAGAAGTCATCAGTTATGCATATAGTTGTCGAGGCATGATTGCATATATATAAGTTAGAGGATCATATACCGAACTACTACCTGGTGATGGATGTTGGCATAGAGAGATGGAAGAGGGGGAATGAAATTAATAGGTGTCCAAAATTAGGTGGTGGAATTTAAAAAAGGAGAAAATAGAATTATTTAGGAATCAATTCGTAAAGAAGGAAAATGGAATTCTGCGCACGAAGTTAATGTTATGTAGAATGAGATGGTTGACTGTATTAAAAAAGTGGCAAAAGAAGTTTTGGAGGATCTAGAGGAAAATCCGATAAGAAAATTTGTTAGTGGAGTGATATGGTTCAAGAGGCTATTAGTAAAAAACGATCATGTTATAAAGCTTAACAATGTAATAGAAATAATTAAAACTTAAAAAAAAACATAAAAATTCTAAAAAAACACTAAGATAATAGTAAGGCTAAATTTGAGGCTTATGATGAGATAGAAAATAAGTTGGCATAAGAGAAGGTGAAAAAGATGTTGTCAAACTAGCAAAATAAGAGAGTCGAAGTATAGGGATCTCGATCATATTAAATGCATTAAGAGTGAGCATTAGAGGATGTTAGTGAAGGATGACGAAGTCAAAGAAAGGGGACAAATTTATTTGCATAAATTTTTAAATGACGAACATTTGGGACCACAACATTAGGAGGAATCTTTGGCATAAATGATGGTGTAGGCCATAGATACATATACAAGATTAAGACATCTGAAGTGAAAAAACATTGAGAAGGATGAAGGTAGGAAAGGCTTTAGTACCAGATGGTGCCCCAATAGAGTTTTGGAAGTGCATGGGAGGGGACTGACATATTCTAGCTGACTAAGTTGTTCAATAAGATGTTGAGAACAAAAAAAATTCCAGACAAATGGAGAAAAAATATTGGCATACCTATTTACAAAAACAAAGGAGATACAAAATTGTATAAACTATCGAAGGATCAAAGTGGTGGACCACACTATGAAGTTGTCTAACACATGAAACGAGTGTATCACATGAAACAAGAAAGTAATTGAGCAATGTCTAACACACGAAACGAGTGTATCAAAAAATTAGTTTGGCTTTATGACTGGGAGGTCAACAATTGAGACTATTTTCCTACTTAAGCAATTGATTGAGAACTTTAGGGAGAAGGGAAGAGACCCCCGCATGGTCTTTATTGATTTGGAGAAAACATACAATAGGCTACTTAAAGAGCTAATTTAGTGGTTGTTGGAAAAGAAAGGAGTCTCTAGAGGATATATTGATGTGGTGAAAGTTACATACGAGGAAGCACTAACTAGTGTGAGGACAACTGGTGAAGAGGCAAGCTTTTAGTGACAGTAGGCCTACATCAGGGGTTAAGCATTGAGCCCATATCTCTTTGTTGTGGTTATGAACAAGTTAAATAGGTATCTACAGGATAAGGTACCTTGATGCATGTCCTTCGTGGAGGACAAAGTTTTGATTGATTAAAATAAAGCCAGTGTCAATGCAAAATTAGAATTTTGGAGGGATGCTTAAGAAAATTTAGGGTTTTAAAATTATCCAGACTAAGACAGAATCTATAGAATGCAAGTTTAGTAATAATAGGAGCATATACAAGGAAGAAAATTGATGACTAAGAAATATCTAAAAGAGATTATTTTGATATCTTGGGTCGATAATCAAGGATAATGGAGAGATTGAGGATCATGTCGCACATAAAATTAGAGCTGGGTGGGCTAATTGGATATGTGCATCCGAAGTTTTATGTGATTGCCGCATACTAATGAAACCAAAAGGGAAGTATCATAGTATGGCCGTAAGACCAGCCATGTTTCATAAGATGGAATATTGGGTGGTCAAGAAACAACATATTCATAGGATGAGTGTAACTGAAATGAAGATATTGAGATGGATGAGGGGAAAGAAAAGAAATGATAGAATTCTAAATAAATAAAAACGATGGAAATGTGGCTCCAATAGGCGATATGATGAGGGAAAATAGACTTAAGTTGTTGCGTAGACCTAATATAATACCGGTTAGGAGGGCGAATTGGTTCAAGTAGAAGGCTCTAAAAGGGCAAAGAGGAATCCCAAAAGGACTTAGATAGAAGTAGCGTGAAGAGATATGGTGACTTATGGTCTAACTGAGGGTATGATCCTTGATAGAGCAGAATAACAGAATAAGATTTGTGTAATTGATCCCAAATAGTTGGGATAATGATGATGGTGATGACGATGTTAATGATGATATCAAACTACTACCCTTGTAATTTACATGCATCTTATGGGCTGCACAATAGGGAGAAGGGGAGAGAGAGAGATGGGAAGTTGAGAGGTTGGGAGAGAGAAAAACTCAAGCTCGTTAACTAGGGAAAATGTTTTGGGCTTAATTTAAAGAGGGGCAAGGCTTGTTGTAGACTTAATTTTGGGAAAAAATCTAATGGAGGTACTCTTTTGTCAAAAAATATGATATTGCACTTAGTTACATGACGAAGATATAAATTACGCAAACCTTGAGGCATATTGACACAATTAGAAAGAATAAAAGCCACAGTGATGGAAGGTTAATGCAATACAATAAACTTTTAATTAGAGACTATGATCCATAAGGTTAAGACTGTCACCCATTAGTGCATGGCAGTAAAAGGTGACGCAGAGAGGGTCAGACTCACCTGAACATGACATGAACTGATAATTCTCTCTCTCCCATCACTATCCATCTATTGGCTGGGCAGTGAGAGACTTGAAAGAACATAGATTGTCTATTGTCATACATATCACATATATTGCACATTACTGCAGTATCTAACCATGTTTTGTATCGGAAATAATCCTACCTCATAGAGGATCCAATCATGCATCTACAATAAAAGTGCACCTGCTTTTCAGTATTTTATAAGCACATCAATCCAACATATGCACGTGCAGAAGGCATAACTTAATGGTTGAAAATGGTAGAAAAAATCTTTCTTTTCACTAATATCATCATCCCATATGATTCCCATAAGTTCTTTAAGCATATTACTAGAAAGAAAAATAAAACCTGTGAAAGTGCAATTATGCTTGTAGCCAAATGGTTTACTCTGCATCTCTCTTGCATAGAAAGTTCTGCAGCAGTCTGCAACAATTGGAGCCGAATAAGACCAAATTTTGCAGCATAGTATGTAAGAAAAAATCTGCTTAGCTTTCTTAGAAATTCAAAGAGTACGTACCTTCAAACTTATTGCATCAAATAAAGTTTCGTTGTCATGAGCAGATACATAATTAATCTGGAAAAGGGAGATACAAGTATAATTCAAGAAGCAAATCATATGATCCATGTTAAAGATAAAACTATAATATGTCTAATGGTAAGGATACCATTGATCTAAGGTTCCTATATTCTCTCGAGGTCCAAAGATAAAAAAGAATACACAGTTTGGAGAAAGGATCTCTTAGGTGCAAGGCACATGAGGCATGGACATGGAATACTTAATTACAGATGCATTCCAGAGTACAGCACACCTATATTCATCATGTAAGGCTCTATACATAATTAAGTTTCTAATGGAATTTCTATATGAAACAAATGAAAACTGAGGAGAATATGATTAACAATTCCAACAAGGAAACACACAGAATCAAAAGTGATAATGATACATACCATGCTAGAGCATGAAATAGCAGCATGCCCTTTAATATAATTCTTCCCCAAATATCTTTTTATGTATTATGATCTGTAAGAGCTCTATATATTGTTACTGATCTAATCTCATTCAGACCTGGAATATTCTATATGACATTTATACCACTTACAAATAAATAAATAACATAAGCAGTTATCAATAAATGAATTTTCTTTTCTTGTTGTTCAGAGCAGTATCACGACAAACTCACCTCAGTTCTTCATCTCTATTTCTTTTCATTCTTTTTGTTACCCCACATTAAACTCCAGTGATGTTAATCATATAGAATAGCTTGAAACTAATATAGTGCTTGGAAAGTATAAAAAAAAATTAAAAAGAAATGTCTTATATAGTTGGAATGGTAATGTTACTGAATGCAAAATTACATTAACTTGCTATTGACTTTAGAATTCCCAAATAAGTCGAACATTTTAAGTGCCACCAAAATTAAGGATCATGTGAAGAAAATTTCCAACAATAATGTAACTCAACTCTTCATTGACCCTCAGCCACTGCAAACATGTATCTAGACCTCATAAGAGTACAGTGAAGTATGAGATGACACAAACCCTGAAGCAGAAGAGGTGAGACCAACTGAAACACTTCAGTACGAAATTTATGCTAGTTTCCTGACAGAGCTAGCATTGATAAGCTTGACTGACTGGAAATTGGAATCAAGAAGAGCAATCACAATGACGGCATAAGAATAAAATGGCAATCAAATTTGATGTATATTTAAAACTTTCATGGTATACAAGATCCTGACAATTTAGGGGCACATGTTATGTCCTACTGGAGGTCGGGATAACAAGAATTGAATGTTTAGGACAGGATCGCAATAGTAGAAGGATTTCAAACAAATTAGTTGCTCAAGAATAAATGCATTATACTATGCCTAATGAAAAATATATACAGGCATGGTAATCTTCCAATCAGATTAATGACAGAGAATTCATAAGATCCAGATAAATGTCAATATGTTTGAACTCAACCTTTTTTACTCATTTAACAAAATAAAAGAATGGAGTCACTGTTTTGAACGCATTCATCTGCTATTGATTGTTCAAATCAAGAAAGTAATCGACACACTGAGTCACTTGCAAATCATAGATGCATAATCCATGTTGATGCCTACCCAGCACACTATATCCCCAGCAATATAATCTCACAATGCACATATTATTTATGAACACTATATCTGCCAAATTCCAACTGTTGGTGCAAGTCAGGTGATCAACTATTTAGACTCTGTTACCATACATTGACTCAAGTCCTAAACGTAATATTGACAGACATATAAAAGAAACAAAAATAACTTAATTTACATATTATCACATCATCGTGTGAAGCTTTCAGCCTATTTATTCATTAGTCTCCAACAATGGAATTTGCTTTAACATATCATTGTGAGTTAATCAAGAATGCACTACGTGGACTGATTCACCAGCTTCAAATCCAATCAAACCAAGTATATCATCTGATGAGATGTAAACAAGAAAGTATAACTACTCAATGTGAACAAAAGATGCACATTTTTTCATAGGTTTCTCCAACAAACAAACAGTTTCTCACAATTCCACAGCAACAATATCTAACTAACTGCTGGCAGCATTCATCAAAGGACCTCCACTACAATTCTCTCATCATTGAAATGAATCCCCAAAAGTAGGAATATATCCAATAAAAATTCCAAAATACATATGTTACACTCATTCAGTTGTGAACGTGCATGTTATTCCAGCTTAGGACATTGAAAAGGTAATATAACACACGTCCGAAAGCTTACAGTTTCCGTTGGGCATTGAGCATACGCAACAGGCAGTCCATCATGTGTATGAACATCAGATCCTTTCACCTGAAGAGTTCAATGTCATCCACTAAAGAGAACAAAAGAAAGACCACCAAAACAAAATCATCATCATCATCAAAAGCCTTTTCCCAAACATTTGGGGTTGGCTGAAGACCACGAAAACAACCAATCTTGCAAATATACATAGAGAGCTACTAAGAAAGTATGCGTACTAGTACAGAAACAAAGAAGTTGCACAAGCAAATAAAGGCTATGGCATGGAAAGAAGCCATTTTAATTGACTTGAAACCATCTTTTTAAAATAAACCACGAAATAAGAAATAGAATTCGAGTGGCCATGGAAAGAAACCCATCTCTCTTAGCCTTATAAGTGCCATAATTAGGCCCTTTCTCCAACAGATTGAAAGAAAAGCTCCAAAGAATGGCAGGTTCAAGATCTTGGACATTACCACAAAAAAAATCCAAATAATCGTACAAATTGCCATAATTCAATATTCACGTATATGGATGTTATGGTTGCTTCATTGTGTAAACATTTTGGAGAAAAATCCACCATGGAAGTTTCTATTAGTCATAATTGGTGAGGGGTATTTTGGTATTTTTGTATATTGTTGTAACTTAAAAGAGCAAATTACGTATGAACACTTTTTGGGAGGGGGGGGGTCGGGGGTTCAATTACCAAATGAGGTGTCATTGCCCGAAATTACAAGCACCACTCCCCCCCTCCAATGGCTTTTTTGTCTCGAAGTTACCCCCATGTCTGGCAATACAAACACCGGATAGCAGGTTATTCTTAGGAGAAGTACTCTTTTGTTGTTTGGTACTTCAAATACTGGATAACTAATCTCTCTGTAAAGTGTGCGTACATCTCGCATTCCTCTATTGTAGGCTTTTAGACTCTCCCTCTATCTCTCTTTGGAAGTTTTCTCTTCATTGTTATCTTTATGGCTTCAGTGATGGGTTCTCATTGATCGCCGGATTTTTTGTGAAATTGCATTTTCCTACAATAGAAAGTCCTAGATCTACACGTCAATGGACACTTTATAGTTTTTTTCTCTGGTTTCCCCCTCTTTCTACTCAAGATTTGCTTCATTGTGACTTCACAATCCAGATCCAAGGTTCATCCCTTTCTCTCTCCATCTAATATATTCCTGTAACAAAATTTAAGGCATTGAAGTCTAATGTTTCTGAAAGTACTCTGAGGATTTCATGCCCTTTCCCCTCTTTAAAATCTGCTACATCTTTGCTTTTCTTTGTTTTACAAGGAATTGAGGGCTACTTCCTATTTTCTCAAGATTCTGGTCATCTTGCTCAGGTTTTGAGATATTAAGAGTTTCATGAGTTACGTTTTGCAAGGATCTGCTTGATTTTTGCTAAATTTTTGAGAAATTAAGAGCTTTATGAATTTTTTATCTCCAGAATCTGGTTGATTTCCATTGAAATTTTGAGAAATTAGGAGCATCATCCATTTTTCTGCTTAGTCTGCTATACACTGCTAAACTTTGGAAAAACTAGGTTCCCCATCTTGTTTTTCGAAGTCTGCTAAATTCCTTGCTTAAATCTTGAGATAATTCAGGGACTTAACAAAGCCCCATTGGACTCAAGTCTCAGAAGACCTGAACATACTCCTTTCTCTCTCTATCTGTTATGTCTCTACTAAAATCCACCATTGACGAAGCTAGTTATCCTTTTTAACTCTCTAAATCCACCATTGAAGAAGCTATTTACTCAGCTATTTGTCTTTCAAAAATTTAACTATGATGAAGCTTGTTGCCAGCTACTTCTCTGTTAATATCCACCATTGGAAAAACTCATTATACTTCTATGTCTTTACTAACATCCACAAATGACGAAGCTTGTTATTCTTCTACATCTCTTCAAAGTCCATCATTGACGAGGCTTTGCTGAAATCCACCGTTAATTTCGCTCTAGCCTCTTTGTTCACTGCTTCATCAATAAATTATTCATTTTGCTTTCTTCCTATTTCTCTCAGCAGCTCCACCCAATAAAGCAGGGGATAATTGAAATTTCAATCATGCAGCTTCAATCGGTTGTCTTAAGATATTAGTATCATTGGAAAAGCCTTTAGTAATAGGATAAGACTACCTCTACCCAGTTGTCTGCTTCTCCGTAATCGAATTCTTCTATGACATCCTATTTCCCGGTCAGTCATCACCCAATCCTGCACCCAAAAGGGAAAAGGTTCCCTTCCGGACCACTAAGGACTATGATGAAAGATGGTGCTAGCACTAGTTCTATCAGTACCTTCCCCCCATCCATCCGTCCGTCAATCCATGGATCCCCCTATAGCAAATGGTTTCTATTCCTCTAAATCGATTGAAGATTCAATCGTTGTGTGACTCGATTACCAACTATTCTTCCATCTGAAAGTCGATGGAGCCTAGTAATGGCCGTCTTTAATCCTGATAATCAAATATTTTCAGCCAAAGCCCCCTCTCGAAACCCTCGCCCCCCCCCCCGGGCTACGAATCCCGGGCCCGACGAAGGGATGCAGCGGATTCGCTGCTCCCACAAAGCTTGGTACCCTGCTACATCTCGCTCAAGAAGCTTGTCTTTCTCAAATTTTCAGGCCTAATCAAGAGATCAATGGTGAAACTCATCAGAGCTCCTTGTTTCTTTCTCATCATCATGGCGTTCTCAACCATGTCCCTTTGTGCCAAGCGACCTCCATTTCTAGCACCAAAAGAAAAAAACACTTAACGAATAGCCCCCTGCCGATGTTTGAATAGTCGGAAAGGGGGTAACTTAGGAAAAAACAAAAACCCGTGGGAGAGGGGGGGTGATGCTCGTAATTTCAGGCAAATGACACTCCATTTGGTAATTGACCCCCTCAAAAGTGTATGTATGTAATGACACCCCATTAGATCAAAGAGGCTGAATATTTTAGTTTCAGCCCTTTTCTTAATCCACTTTAGCCTGAAAGCCCATAGGTTTTTTCTTCAACTATATTTACAATATCTATTTTTGACATTTTTTAGTTATTTAGAAGGAAACCCAAAGTTATTCTGTGTAGTGACCATTGTTCTCCAATAAAAGTAAGGGCTATAAAGGGAACAACAATGTAATAATCTGTCATTACAAGTTCTATTAGTCTCAACTTTATAAGGGCAGTAACAAGGTTACATGTCTTAACTATTATAAGACTAATAGAAATACGAATCAAACAAACATCATTAACAATGATGATCAACGTTTTTGATGAACATATGATAAGAACAAAAAAAAAAAGAAAACAAAAAAACAAAAGGATGGATCCTTGATGTGTAGCAAAGACTTACGGATTCTCCTCTATGATTGGTGAACACGAAGTTATGCAAATTTGCCGCCAATCCAACCTGAATTACATAATATTTAATAAGTGATCATGTTGCCAATTTCAAATATTTAGCTGCAGTTAGTGAAGGACAACAAGAATAATCTCTTTAGTACTACAAGAAAAATAATATGAAATTGCAAACAAAATACTCTACTCAACAAAAGTTAGGGGGCACATCATACTACATCCTACTTCCAAGGCAGGTTATGTGCATTTATGCGACTGCTGAGCAAAAATAAAATCCAAAGAGCAAACTATTCAAGACAAATGGATGACATGCTTTTTCATACGTTTCTGTCACAAACGGGTGCATTGTATTATTTTAGCATTAGCTATCAAAACTTTGCAAATGATTTCTACAAGTTCAATTGGCAACTGGCCATGATGCCTCATTAAAATCAGAGGTTAAACATCATTGCACATGTGAAAATCTATAGAATGATCAAGACAATCTTTTACAATAATATACAATAGCCCAAAATGTTCACAAATGCCCAGGATCACAAGATTAGGCATCTATAAATGAATTTGACAATGAAATTTAAATAACTACAAAAAGTTTGGAGGAATAATCCTTGTAGATAGTGTCAATGTAGTTCATACGTTCATAAATCACTTTCCGCAGATGACCTGGTGCAGATTCTATTAAAAAAAAAGAAAAGAAATGAGATTCCTTCCAGAAAAATGAGGTAAGATGGCATCAAAATAGCACTTTGGTATGTCGCAATCAGAACAACACTGAAGAAAATAATGTGCCCTTTGCAGCTGTACAACAAAATAAATTAATAAAATATTATAGGACGGATAATAATTTACTAGTAAATTTCACAGATGAAACCTTCAATGTAAAAAGTCTATATAAAACAACATTTGGAGCATCTAGCAAACCAAGAGATGCATTGCATATGTTGGGTTTTGTGGCCTTCAAAGACCTAGAGAACTTGTAAAAATGATATTTTATAGTGAAATATATACTTCAACGGAGTGTGTGTATTGACTAGCCATGGGTTAGACAGTTTATCACCTTGGTTATGTCCAAAACCCTTATCACTAGGCATGTGGCACTACTGAGGAGGGTTTACAATAGGTCATTCCTTGTTGAAGTCAGAGAGATGCTCAGGAATGACGTTTGTAGGTCAGGAGAACTATATGATATGTGGTCTCCTGTGTGTGGTTGTAGGCCTGTGAAAGCAACGGCTAAAGCCTCAACAGCCTTATGCACGATATGTACACATGATAACCGCATTACTAAGAAGCATCCATATAGAGGACACGTGTACATGTGCATAGAGAGCCCTCTTTGTACTATGGTGATAAATGCTAGACTTATTCTTAAAGGGGTGGAATGAAATCCACATTCTATAATCATGGTTCCACTATTTATTGTCCAACTTTGACAAGCCAATCATGAGCCCTTTCATCGAGACTGTGGGTCATGAGTCCTTGCTGGGTTGCATAAAAAAATAGAAGCTGATTATAATTCTTGGGTCATGTGAAGCACCCACATTGTCGCTAATTTTTTACCAATTGGTATCAATCCACTTCTAAAATATTTTGTTTTGGTATTACAAATGTTTTTATGACTTTTTACAAATTTTTCAGAATTCTAAAAATTTACTACTGTAAAATTCATTAAAAGGGTATTTTCAAAATATTCAAAACTTGGAAGGTCACATGTGGGGAAGAAGGATCTAGCCCCCACATGTGTGTGCCACCATGGTGGGGCATGTGGCCTTGTGGGGCCCAAACAAGGTCCCTAGGGTGGCAAGCCACTTTTCTTTTCTTGCTTTATGTCCTATCTCTTAGTTAAAAAGTCGTTAATTAGGGAATCTTTAAAATTTAAAACATAGTTTTATTCCTTATTCAAGTGGGAGTTTTAAAATAAAAAAATTATCTTTCGCTTCCTATAAATTATGGAAGATCTAGATAATATTAAAAGTGGTTATAATTTAAATTTAAATAGAAGTTGAATTTGGGTCAAATTATAAGGAGATAAGTTTCCTAATTTCCAGCCAAAATCATGGTGGCTGATATGTGGGATGGATGGCTCAGATTTAATCTCTCTCTTACTCCACAGATTTCTTAAATGGTCAGGCTGAAAAATAAGATGAGGAATATTTAGATGGAATCTTACTTTAAGTGGGACATGGATTCGTTCTATTTAAACTTTTTTGAACCTCTCTCTCAAAAATATTACAAGTTCTCTCTCTCTCTCTCTCTCTCATTTTTCTTCTCCATGCTCCAATTTTTGTGTCCCTCTCCTCTCTTTTCATGCCATCCTTTCTTGACCTTTTCTACTAGTTCATGCCACCCAAAAGAAAATAAAAATAAGGTCCGATAAGTGAAATCTTAAATTAGAGCTTGCTATATGTTTTAACCAAGAAAAGAGATGCCCAGCCTAGAGTCAATTTAATTCTCAAGTTCAACACTTATTTGTTCCTATAGGGTTTCTACAAACCTTAATAGAGTTTTTGAGCTCTCTAAAACCTTAGATTGGAAGGTATTGCCGGTAAAGCTTCGCTATCTCAGAAATTTCAGCAAGACTTAAAGGGCTAAAAGTGCGCCATTGGCCAAAAAATCGGGTGTAGGGGGTATCAAGACCTATGAGGATAACTCTAGGCATCTTCGAATAAGTCTTCCTAGCTGATTTAATTAATTTTCTGACATATTTTATATTTTTCTATGAATTTACAGGAACATATTTTATACTTAAATCATAGTGCATCATTTGTTTTGGAAGTAAAAGTCAAGATCCTAGGCTGTGTTTAGGGTTTTAAATTTGGCTGTGTTTAGGGTTTTAAATTTGATTTACAGCAGTATATAATGGCCCATATAAGTGGAATTCAGGTATATTGATAAATAAAAAGAATTTTTTTAAAATTATTACTAAAGAATTCAGGTATGTAAAGAATTTGTTCCTTACACATGAACGAAACAAGCCATAAAAGAAGATAATCAAAGTACATATGTATAGTATACTTTTGAAAATTCAGCACCACTCAAACTTACAAAGCAAAATTATACATTAATGGACTTCATAAAACTCATCACAATATGATCTCCATTACATCAACATACATATGCTCAAGTATGCAATGCACCATGACCATGGGAAGCCAATCGGAGCTCTCGGGTGCTTGGTTTACTGCCTTGGGTCTTAGCAATGTGCCATTGGGTGACAAGCGATAACATTACCATAAAATCGGGCTAATTCATCATCTAATAAGTGGGAAGCCAAGCATCTACTGCTACATACTTAAAACATGGAAGGATTTACAGAGATCCAAATGTCAAATAATATAGAGAAATCGTGAGTGAACAACACAAAACCAGTTCTATCGAGTTCACAATTTGGCTCACAGATTTCGGCTTAGTTTCTTCTTATAAAATCAACAATTCAAGAGATCAAGAAGAAGGTTTAAGTGATTGATATGATAATGAAAATCTCATAAAAATATCAGCAAAAAATACTCCAAAATTCAAGAAAGAAAGCTCAGGGAAAACTATGTCAAAATGTGCATAGATGAAGCTTTTAACTATGTCAAAATGATCATTCACAGGATCAAAGATCTAATCATCAAAGGCTCATGATCTTAGTCTATCAAAGTCAAACCGTTGTGTGACTCTAAATCCTCAAAAATAAATGGATTGCAGGTGCCACCCCTAGAGGACATGCGCACACATGGTGCAGGGTTCCTCTCTTGGCACATGTATATAGTTCTAACCAGTGGATCCCAAGAAGAGCGGCTTCCCATGCTCTGCGATTGTATATGCACATGCTACGAGAAGGTTCTATGAGTCAGGAATTTAGGCCAATGTCTTCTATTGGACCAAACCTTCATGTACAAGGTTTTTTGTCATCAAGTTCATGTGAAAATCATATTGCCTTGGCCCATCACTTAGTCATGAGGCATAAACATAATAACCAACCCTGACTAAGAGGTAACCTTCCACCCTCTTAGTACCTCCCATCCATATAAATCTTTTGCATGACTTAATTGGGGTTCCATGACTCTTGGTCCCAGAGCACCAAGATCCTAGAGTCATGTCGCTCTTTTATTCTCGCTAAAGTTAAAAGCCATTGAAAATTTTGGAATTTAAGGCCATAAAAGGACATAATTCCAAAATTAATCTCACTATATTGGATGACATGTTAATTACTAGTAGTTGAATGACTCTCGTATTCGAAACAAAAGCTTTCTTGTCACAACACCTCGCTATGAAAGATCTTACAGAGCCATGATATGTTATGGAAATCAAGATCACCAGAAATAGAAGAGACAACCATTCAGTTATCTCAAGATATATATTGCAAGAAAAAAAAGGAAAGATCTGAAATGGAAAATTGTCGGCCCATACTAAACCCCATCGATAAGAAGACTAAGTTAAGCCTAGCCATGTGTCCCACAAGTCCAAAAGAGAAAGAAGCCATGCAAAGAATTCTGTACAAAAGTGCATTTGGATAACTAATATATGCAATGTTCGGGACGAAACCGGACTGAACATTTGTTCTGAGTATGATTAGTAGGTTCTAGATTAATCTAGGCACATAGCACTTGAAGGCAATAAAAGAGTTTTGTGGTATTTGAAGGGAACCGTTAATAGGAACAAAGGGTCTCACACACCACCCTAGTTAGGGTTTGTGGCGGGAGGTATACCCAGCCCTAGTAAATAGGGAGGTGACTTGTGGCATGCCCTAAGTGTTCCAACAGAGTTATAGAAACCCTATTACTGTTATGCTCTCATAAGAAGCCTTAGTTTATGAGGTATTGCCTAAGGAAGCATCTCAGCTCAAAAACTTCAACAATGCCAATAGGATCAGAGTGCGCAATCTGTGAAGAAATCGGATGTAGGGGATAGTAAGTCCTATGGGTGTGACCCGACGCAAACTCGAGTAGGTCTTCTTGGCTGTTTTGTATACTTTCAGTCACATTTACATATTCATTCTGAATTTCCGGAAATATTATTTATATTTATTGTTAGTGAAAGCTTGTCTTTCATTCTTGGATCGTATCTACTTGTTTTCACAGTAAAAGGAAAGATCCGAGGTTGTATCTAGAGTTGGTTTTCTTATTTACAGCAGTGCATTGTGGCAATTGTAAGTGCAATCAGATTGATTAATAGAAGAAGAGGAGAAAACATTTTGACTTTACTCCCTTGAATTCCAGATAGCCACCTCTTTCAAAGGAACAACAATATTTTACTGTTAAAATTCAGAGATGACAGCTTCAAGGCACTAAGTCTTATAAACAACGTTTGGAGCATCTAGCAAACCATGAAACACATTGCATAATATGGTACTTTCTAGCTACATGTATGATGTATGAGTTACATAAACTGGTCGAAAGAAATTATAGGGATGCTAAGGAATACCTCATTAGAAAACAGACATATCCCATAGCTAACAAAATAAATCCCCAGATATAAGCAACAAGTTAGATAGTCATTTAGTAAATCATGACAAGCAAATTACAACTGGACTAATTGAGATAATGATTCAAGGGGCATTTATCCCCAAAAGTACACTAGGATAAGAATGGGAGAGTATCCTTGACATAAAGTAAGGCATCATATTAGGGATGAATGACACTCAGATCTCATCAATTTTAGCATTAGTGCAGGAATGGAATATTATCAGTATACAAGACCTTTCCTAGAAATAATTCACCTGAAAAAAGAAGAAGACTATTCCTAGAGACAAATAATGACAGAAAGAAGAAAATTTTTTGTTAAGAGCTAGCATCTAATACCTGAATATGATCTTTTAGGACTGCAAGAGTACGTTCAGTAACATCCTCTCCCCCATAGTCATGCTCATTAGGCTGGAAAAATGGCACAAGAGAAAATAAATAATGAGTTTTAATCTCAAACTAAGCAACAAAATATATTCTCCTAGAACAAGCACAAGGCCAAACAAACATCAACAATCTTCAATTTTCTTTACAACAGTTACATGAGTTGGGGACTTCTATTTGATGTTAAGGCTTTAATGGGCTTTGGTAAGATGTGGATAAGTTGGACACGTGCTTAAGTGATGACAGCCTCCTTTTCCATTCTTGTCAGTGGCTCTCTCCAAAGGTCTCTTTAGAAGTTCAAGAGGGCTAACAGAGGGAGACCCCTCATCCCTCTCCTTTATACGATGATGGCTGAAATTTTGAATTGATAGATTCATCATATATATGCATACTCTGCTGCCCTTGTTGTGGCTTTTGGATAAACCTGTATGGCCCCCATGTTGCACCTCTAATATGCAGATCATGCAATAAATTTTGGTGAAGCCATCATTGAAGAGATGGGAAATCTAAAGCTTAACCTCAGCATTTTTGAGAGCCTGATGGGGTAGAGAATCAACATAGCCAGGGCATTCTTCTGGGCTTAAATGTTTTAGATGCAAGGTACAACAATTCACAACAGCTTTGGGTGCATGTTGACTAGTGAAGGTCTTCTGTTCGGTGTTGGCAGATGCAACACAACAATCTGGGATCGCGTAATTGAAAGGATTGAGAAAGATTAGCCCCATGGAAGGTATGTTCCTCTGCATGACAGAAAGCAATGATTAAGTCCATTTTAAGCTCTATGTCTGACTATTATATGTCCATTCTCCAAGCACTCTGCAGAGTCGTATAGAAGTTGGAGGAGATTCAAAGGCAATTTATATTGCAAGGAAAAAATGACACAAATGCTATTTAATGAACACTTGCAAGCCTAAGCAAGCAGGGAGGCTTGCTTGAGGCATCTGAAACCTAATAACAACACTTTAAGCAAAATGTCCAAGATTTAGCAGGGAAGACAAAGCCCTGTGGAAAAGGGTCACTGTTGTGAAGTATGGGAGTGGGAGGAAAGGATGGATAATCAGCATAGCAAGCAGGCATTTCAGAGTCTCCACCTTCTACCATAGCATTTCCTTAACCGTGCAGATCTTTTTGGAAGGGATTCCAATCAGAATTGGAAGGGAGGAGATCTTTCTAAATGATATTTGGTGCGATGGGATCACTTTTTGAGAGCAGTCTTCCATACCATTTTGAGTAGCTCTGATCCCTTAGTGAAGAACGGAGAGTGTTACGAGAGAGACAGAACCCGATATTCCAGAGGCAATTAGATGAACATGAGTTGAAGATCTTTGCTTTATTTTGGATCATTAAAATTTATTTGTATTCCTAAATCTGACGTTGGTAGACTTGTTGATGAAATATTTCCAAAGCGCATTATTCGGTGAGGTCTTTCTCCAGGACTCATCTCAATGAGAATGCCCACATTCCATGAGTAGATTGTTTCAGGAATATTTCCACACTCCCAAGGTACTGTGCTTTAGATGGCTGGTGGAATTAGATACAAGATCTCACTAGAGGGCACTTCCAACATTGGGGAATAATAGGAAAAACTAATCTGCACAAGAAAACTTCCTAGCCATAACACTCTCCCCGGAAAACACAAATGCAAGTGCATGTACAGACATGCAGCACGCAGGCACTCATGGACACTTGTACACACATGAACACACTTTTTTTCATCAACCATACAAAGGGCCCCCTCCATACACCAAGAAGGTCGCCACCCATTCTTTTTGACAATATTGCCTCTTTGCACTCTATATAAAACCCCTCTTCACTCCCCCCCCCCCCAAAAAACTACTCTCTCTCTCTCTCTCGCTCATACACACACACATACAATTAGATATTGAAACACAGCAATACCCTATGATAAAATTGGTCGCTTGATGCATCGCAAGAGGGTTAGATAAATCCAACTTCTCACACTCGAGCTCAGCATCTACAAAAAGTTTAGACACAGAAACCATTATGGAAACATGGCATTCATGTTTAGAAGCATTCATGTCAAGAATGGCATTCATATCTAACTCTTTGCCCAATTTCACATCATCAGAAGAAGACCCATTAACCACATTCATTATTGGGTTGCTCTCCCTACCAAACCATCAATAACCACCGTGAGCTTAATGTTCTACCAAACCATCAATAACCACCGTGCTCTTAATGATCTATCTCCTGCAGGTACTCTTGGTGTTCAAAACATCACAGATTCCTTCTCCCTCATGATTCAAATTTTTGCTACCATCTCAAAATGACGCCAGACAAACTTGGATGTTGTAGGTTGTTGTCACTGATGATGGGTAAATGGAACTTACAGTAGAAAGGTTTACAATGGTGAATAGGCAAATACCAATGGATTGGAAATGGTTGTGACAGAGTTGGAGGATAGGCTAAGTCACTCTTTTATTGAATGAAAAAAATATTTTGAAACTATTGTTTCTCTCACTATATCACCGGAGGGGCCATATCAAAATCGCCCAACCTAGGTGTTGATCCCACTCTGAGATCTCGCTCTAGTACTGCCAGATAACCACCATTGGACTTGATCCCCACTTTTTAAGGATCGCTCGTACCCACTTGACAACAAGAGAACAAAAAGGTGATTCACTTGAATCTTGGTTGCCATCGTACTCACTCTCTCTCTCTAATGCTTTTGGATGTTGTAGACTGTAAATATTGCAAACAAGTAGCTTGTTATGCTTTTAGATGTTATGAAGTGCACAATTGTAAATAAAGCAGATACTATTTATCAATATAAAATCAGCTCACTTGTATATCATTTATCCCAATAAGCCTCAACATAATAATTTTTTATTGTATTTGTTGGGATTACTGTTAAATAAATTACACCTCAGAGGAATAATATCATTGCTCTTTTGTCTCCCATTTATTGTGTGCCCATTTTCTGCTGCATCATGTGGGATAATTAGATATTTTACTTTGAATACTTCTGATTTTTTTAACATTTTAATGATTAAAAAATTGTACAGAATCCGCTCCCGACCTAGGGAGCTTCCAGCATGTTTCAATCCATCACTCCTGCTCGCACTCCAAGAAACTATTAAAGAGACAAATGTACAATTGTGAGAAACTATTAAAGTGACAAATGTACAATTGTGTTTGCGATTCAGCAGAACCATTAACCTATTGGTTAGTGATAACGAGTTGGATTTTTGCTCCACTCAACCAAGATTTGTGCAAGCAAGAGGACATACACCTGAGAAAGGAAGGGAGGGGGTGGGGGGGGAGGAGAGAGAGAGAGACCATTGATGAGAAGATAAAAAACAGAGGGAAAACATAAAGAAATAGAGAAATCAATGCAGCTAGACGTCTCAAGAAATTTCTTTAAAGACGGACTCAACAACATTCATGATCACCACTTTAGCCCCGTCCTCAAACAATTGAACCATGCCAAATTATAGTTATTGGAATTGCCCAACTATGGTGCAGATCCGATATAGGATCTTACTCCAACACCCCATGAAAGGGATACACAAGGCATTGCAAATTTTAGAGGCTCAATTCCAATTATTTGGGATCACGACCCTTAAGTTACTTGGGATCCAAAGTCCATACCACATATCCTAGGGTTCATAGCATGCTAGATTAAGGTTCCATTTGCATGAGCTCGAGAACCGAAGTAAATATATAAAGTGTCGTAAGTATCAAAACTTTGCACTTTTTGTCCATGTGATTTCTGATGGTATTAGGCTATATTGTCCCTCTTGTCCTTTTCAATTGGACACCACTTCGAAATTCGAACCTGGGGCTTCAACTTAATACTTTTTAATCAATGAAGAATGGCCATCACTTGGGCTTGGACTTAATACATAACTTTTTTTCTTCCAGTGAAGAAAGATGACCACTTGGCCAAGATTGTTGTTACATTACATAAACTCATAAATTATACTCCAAGAAATTCAAAAAAAGTAATTATATATTATAATCAAATTTTAAATTTTTTCTAAAAATTTCAATTTCTTTAAACTACAATTATATGAGTACAAAAATATTAGATATTATAGAACAATTTGATTTCAAAGAAATTGATCAAATATAATTTTTACAAAAAATATTGGGAAAATATCTCCGTACACCCTAATTTGGCACACAATTTCCCAGTACACCCTCAGATTTCAAATATATCTGGTCGCACAAAATTTTCCAAAAACCCCCTAAACCCATTTAACCCCTTTTCGTGACATAAAGTGGTTCCAAACAAATTTCGAAATTACAAACACAATAGGCCCTCTTTCTCTCTCTTATTTACCATCCGTCTCGTTTCCCCTCTCTCTCTCTCTCACACACACACATACATACTCCCTTTTCTCCTCCAACCCCTATCTCTCTCTCTCACCCTCTCTCCCCTAAGCCTCTCTATCTCTCACACGCTCTCCCAATGGTGGTTTTCTCTGTTCTGAAACAATGGTGGGTTAAATCTTGCTAATAATTTCACATGTCCTATCCTATGCTCTTATCTAACGATCAAGCCCAAGGGCTCGAGGATGAGGATTTAAAGTGCTAAGCCCTGCTCCATTAGGCATTGCCCAAGCTTGAAGATCGCCCATGCAACCCAAGCTTCAAACCCACAAGCCCCCAATTCTCAAAGAACTGGAAGTTACAAAAACTCAAACCATTTGAGCCCTTTATATAAAGCCTTTTCTGAAAATCTGCATCGTGGGCTATCCAAATTTAGACTGGGGAAAGACAGATTCTAGGGATTTTCATAAATGGGTTTAATGGGATAATTGTTTGGGCCCAAAAACCAGAGCAGCAACCCCTGCGATCACAACTAGTTCTAGAACTCCAAGACGAAACAAGCAGCAGCAGCTAAGCCCTGCATTACCGTGGCTTCTTCTCCTTCTATTTAGAGAGACAAAGGGCCTCTTCCTCATAAAGTGCTCATTGCTTCCATAGCTTAAGCGAGAGTTAATGCAGCAAGTGCAGGTGATGAAGTTGGGGATGAGAGGGAGGGAAGAGGTAGAAGAAGC